ATAGATAGATAGATAGATAGATAGATAGATAGATAGATAGATAGATAGATACACATCATATAAGGGAGACTATCTGTATATATATATACAGTATATATATATATATATATGGCTTTTCATATACAGAAAAGCCATTACATGACATAATTGACTCTTAGCTCCACGTAACAGAATCTTTAGAAGATAATTTCTTCAGCTTTTTTATTCTGACAAGCTGTTTTCAAACCAAAGCGGAAGTGAATGGACCTACCTCCTCTCGCGCACTCGTCCTTGCTCTTGGGTGAACATGACGCTGTTAGCCGGGGGAGGTGCCACAGACGTAGCCGGCGCTCCAAGTAGGAAAGACCCTTCCTGACGCTAATTCGCCGCGGTGTGCCGAGCAGATTTATCAGCCCCGGGAATATGACAGGGGAGACCTTCAGAGTGGTAAATGAAAGGCGTTTTAAACCTTTGTTTAGTTCTCGCCGCGCGAGAAGCAGCTGGAGTTAGCAAGATGAGCATCCGCTAACTGTAATTAGCTGTCAGGTTAGCCAATTGACTTTTGATGCGTTATCCAAAGCTCCTTACGGTGGAGTTTGAAACGGTTTGGCTGTTTGGTTAGAGTCCGGCAAAAGACGGGAAGAGGAACAGGAACATTCGGCTTTAAGCTAAAAGAAAACGGACTTTACTGTCCTCTGTGTCGTCCATGGTGAAGAGGGGAGGCAGGCTGCGGGTTTGCCCTTCTCAGAGTGCCTGAGTGACGGGAAGCCTTGTCCGGTGTGTTGGTGCTCAGGTCATTGGCTTCACCGCTATCTGTAAATCAATTTGTCAACTCGAAAGACATTTTGTCCCTCAAATGCAGACGGCGTACAAAAACAACACGGTACTGGCCTTGAGGAAGACCCCACCACACACTCATACACACAGATGGGCGCACTCGTGCTTTTACTCAAAATATTCACTGAGGGATCCTGTTATGAGAGCAGATCCAAGTGGACAGAAGGCCTCCTCAGAGTCCAGAGTTCACCCTGTTCAGAGCTCAGTGCACTGAGTTTAAAGCCCTGCCACTGCATTTGTCCTTCTCTCAGAGTTTTTTAGCAGACATGGTCTTGTTTCTCTGGTTTTCTTCAGCTGCTGTTATGCCGGCATCATCTGTCCCTGTTAGGAAGGCATCCACATCCTGGCTCACCACTCCAAACAACCAGATCCTTCAACTCACTCAGGTACTAACACCCGTCAAGTCGCAGCCTTCTGATCTTGAGCGTTTTCCGTGGTGAAATGGGACTGTTTGTACTCTTCTCCAGGGGGGGCAAGCGTCGGGGGCCGCTATGGAAGGCGCTGGTTGGCCTCTCTGTTGGCGTGCCCGTGGCGGTGGCTGTCGGGTATTCCGTGTCGGAGCCCAGAGAGAAGAGGAAGATGAGGATTGTGATGGAGGGGTTTGGCCGTTTCTGCAGGTTTGTCTCTATTTGTGTAATAAAAAAAAGAAGAAAGAATGATAACAATTTCAAAACGCATAAGCATACAGTTTTGTGTATCGCATACACAGTCCAGGCAAACTCTTAGCTGTGTGTTTTGTGTGTCTGGAGGATGTGTGTGAAAGCGGTCAGAGATGATGGGGAGCAACAGACAGTAGAGCTGCTAAACTGATCATATGCTTCCACGATTTTTGTGTATTTTAAACTTGCAAAAAATGCATCCACTCCGTCCAAAATTGTAAATTTGAGAAAAATCAGGGTTTTAATCGTTTACTCCTTTAGACAGGCTTTCTTTGCTGTTTTTGGTTTACATGTTGCTCCTGTGAAAAAAAATCATACAAATTGGAAACTCGAACTTTTAAAAATGTTTGCTAATTGCGTGTTTCAAAGACGACTTGAGATGCAGAAGTGGGAGTGCAGCCTGTATCTGACCCGGATGAGCCGGGAACCAGTGGCCTCCTGTAACTTTGCAGTGTTTTTGCTGCTGTGACGTTTCAGATGTTTTCAGGGATTAAAGTCATTTCTGAAGCTGAATACCTGAGCTCTGGTTGTCGGGTTTGTTTGTTTCGTTGCGGTGTTTTCGGTTTGGAGGACAACTAGTTGAACAATAACAATGTTCTTCTTCTTCTTATTTTAAACAATAATAAGACAATAACAACAGAAATGAGGTCTGACAGAGCTGCCAGAGTCTACCCCAGAGGGGTCCAGCTCTGGCCCTCGAGGGCTGCTGTCCTGCAGGTTTGATATTTTCCTTTCAAACCTGGTTGTGAAGAAGGGAATCTTCCCCAAAGCTCCGCAGAGCCCTTCTAATGGGACATAGATGGATCAGGAGTATAGAAGCAGGGGGACTTCCTAGGTCGCTGCGGTTAAATGTACTCTCTGAAGTCCTAAGTTTGTTGTTTTATTCATCTGGAGGTGATCATTGAGAGAATTTAGCATGTCAGGATGTGGAATAAAAGTTTTTTCTCCAGGATTAAGTTTGGGATGTGTGACATAAAATGTTGGGTTTTTCTGTCTTTAATAACTGAGACGCAATAGCACGGAGGATGTGGCCATTGATACAGACGTTCTCCTTCAGGCTTTCCTCTGTAGCTTACAGTGTAAAGGCATTCAAGTGGCACACGTCAGTAGGAAAAAAGAAAACAAACCCCAAAAACCTGCTCGGTAATCAGCCGTTGATGTACACACTCTGTTGGTAAAGTAAAGATGTCAGTTTTCCTGAAGACTTCCAAAATCAGAAAAAACCCACCTTCACACTGGCGTCCGGTTCCAGAAGACGTGGGCAGCAACAGCAAAGTGGAAGTGCAGTCACACAGCTGAATTCCAAATGAAGCCGCCCTCATTTGTGTGTTGTTTTTTCTGTTTCTTTCGTCAGACACTTGAAGGCATCAGAAATTGTAAGTGAAAACCTTAGAAACATAGAATTTTTAAATGTACTTTTGAAAACTTTTAAAAAACGCTTGTTTACCTGAACTTCAACAGTGCTCAATAACAAAATCTCAAATAATATAATCTTTATCGTTTGATTAAAAAAAAGAAAACATTTAAAATCTTCTTGCAGTCCCCTTGTCCGTTATCCTTCCCTCTGTTTGGGCCTCTGTAGCTCTGATGTCTGTCGGACATCTGAAAAAAACAACAACAAAAGAAGTGAGCATCTTTGTGTGTGTGTGTGTGTGTGTGTGTGTGTGTGCGTGTGTGCAGGTCTCTCTCGGTGGGACTGTACATATCTGTGGATTACTGGTGGACCACCAACGTGTCCCTGCGTGGAGTGGAGGAGGTAAGCCGAGCCGCTCGCCCCCCCCCCCCCCGGGGGGCAGGCGGCAAAACCTCCCCCCGCCCCCCCCCCCCCCCCCCCACTGCCCAGAGCAGCCCATCCTACCTGGCCCAGATGTCAGCCTGCCACCAGAGGGCGGCGGCGTGCATGGTGGAGGGGGCCATACGGAACGGGGGCATCTACATCAAACTGGGCCAGGGCCTGTGTGCCTTCAACCACCTGCTGCCCCCCGAGTACATCCGCACCCTGCAGGTCCTGGAGGACCGGGCCCTGGACCGGCGCTACAGAGAGGTGAGGGGGCTCAGACGGGGCGGGGGGGGGGGGGGCGGGCCGGGCGGGGGGGCGCGCCGTGTGACCTCCCGCCCTGTGTCTGGGTCTGGGGCAGGTGGACGCCCTCTTCCAGGAGGACTTCAACAAAACCCCCCAGGAGCTTTTTAAGAGCTTCGACTACGAGCCCATGGCGGCCGCCAGCCTGGCGCAGGTGCACCGGGCAGAGCTGAGGGACGGCACCGCCGTGGCCGTGAAGGTGAGTGAGGAGCGGTCAGGAGCAGCCCGTCGCTAACACCACCCCCCCTCCATCACTCACCGCCCCCCCCGCCCCGCAGGTGCAGTACATCGACCTCAGGGACCGCTTCGACGGAGACATCCGGACGCTGGAGGTCCTGCTGGACGTGGTGAAGCTCATGCACCCCAGCTTCGGCTTCCGCTGGGTCCTGAAGGTCCGAGGAACGGTCACCGGGCTAATCGCTCACCAGTTTCTGGTTTTTATTCAAGAACTCTGTGCCCCCGTCTCTGCAGGACCTGAAGGGCACGCTGGCCGAGGAGCTGGACTTTGAGAACGAGGCCAGGAACTCGGAGAGGTGCGCCCAGGAGCTGAGGCACTTCCAGTTCGTAGTGGTTCCCAAAGTCTACTGGGAGCAGACCAGTAAGGTGGGCCATGTGTTGTTTTGTTTGTTTAAAAAAAAATAACCTGCTTCACGCAACAAATGCTCGTCATTCTGACTTCCTCGACCTCTCTTTTCTGCCTTAACGTCGTAAAAGAGGGTGCTGACGGCCGAGTTTTGTGACGGGTGTAAGATCAACAACGTGGAGGAAATAAAGCGACAGGGGATCAGTCTGAAAGACGTAAGCCCCCCCCCCCACCAGCGAGAGCCGGAGCCACACACCTCTGACCCGCTCATCACTTGTTTTTTCTCAGGCGGCCGATAAGCTGATCAGAACCTTTGCAGAGCAGATTTTCTACACCGGCTTCATCCACGCAGACCCACACCCCGGAAACGGTGCGTACACCTGCGTCCCGTAGAGGGGAAACGTTTGTATTCAGGAGACATTCCTGGGAGGCTTCATTGGCTTATTGGATGTTTCTGTTTTTTATAAAAGGGCTGTAGTTACTTTTGGAATTAAGCTTATTCTCATTGAGTGTTTTTGGATGTTTACAGTCCAGACTGTCTTCCCTCAGTTCTTCATATAGAGCTCACTCATTGACACATTGGTTATCTTTAACTTTGGCTGATTTAAGTTGTTTTTTCTTGTAGGAACCACCTGCTGTTTGACAACTGGTCTTGTTTTTTTCAGCGTTTATCCTGATAACACATCCAGACCAGGACCTGTCTTGTCTTTTGTAGATACTTCTTTCTATAAAGTTAATCAGATTATGTCCAATAGAACCAGCCTGTTCTCCACACAGTTCTAACCTGAGAGCTGCTAAACTCCAGAAGTTAGTTTGCTGGGATTCTTTTTACAGGATAAGAAAAAAAAAAAGAAATGAAAGAAGTAAAATCCTCCCTTACCGTTCTGGAAAGCTGATGGTGTCTCCCCTGGTTCTGTGCGGTAGTTCTGGTCCGACGCGGTCCCGACCAGAAGGCGGAGCTGGTGCTGCTGGACCACGGCCTGTACGAGTACCTCAGCCAGCAGTAAGCGCTGCGCCCCCCCGGACGGCTTCAGCCCGGGTCAGGCGCTGCTCTGCACCCCTGACTGTGACCTTTGACCCTCAGAGACAGAGAGGCCCTGTGTAAGCTGTGGCGGGCCATCGTGCTGCGGGACGAGGCGGCCATGAAGAAGTACGCCAACACGCTGGGAGTCAAAGGCAAGCAGGACAGAGCGGATCTGCCCCTCAGTGACTTTGTCCTGTCCGGTTAGAGGGATCAGCTGCATTTTTACAGGACATTCTCCCCCCTCCCCTCCCTCCCCCCGGCAGAGTACTTCCTGTTCTGCGAGATGCTGCTGCAGCGGCCCATCAACATGCACAAGCTGGGCCTGTCCAACGTCCTGAGCCGGGAGGAGACGGCCTACATGCGCCACATGGCCGTCAACCGCTTTGAGAGCGTCATGCAGGTGCTGAAGGCCATGCCCCGGCCCATGCTGCTGGTGTTCCGGAACATCAACACCGTCCGCAGCATCAACATCAGCCTGGGGGCGCCGGTGGACCGCTACTTTGTCATGGCCAAGAGGTCAGAGGTCACACAGAGCGCTGAGGCTCCCACCGGTCCTGTGGTCTTTACCACTGACCTGTTCATAAGGCATAGAAAGACACATCTTAAGTAAAGGCCGTTTTTCAACATTTAAATGATGAAACCTGTCCGTAAGGCTTGTCTTCGCTCCAAAAGCTGGAGGCAGACGGTCACAAATGCGATGCGCTCTGGGTGTTTCAGTGCGGTGCGAGGCTGGGGGAGGATCCAGGCAGAGAAGACGGGGATCCTCCCCAGGCTGGGGATCTTCTGCTGGTGGAGGACCACGTGGGAGAGCCTCAAGTTTGAAGTGGCTTTAAGGTGAGTTGTTAGGATGGTCTGGTTCAGTTTCACCGACTGTGTGAAACTAACTCCATTCCAACCCCCCCTCACCCCCCCGACAGATCAGAGATGGCCATGATGAGTCTGACGCGAGCCTTCCTGAAGATGCTGGAGAAGCTGGGCCTGGCCACGCTGGACCACAGCGTGTACGAGTACCTGAGATAGCGCACAGATGTGCGGGGGCCAAAGCCCACCAAGCCCACTCCAACACCCCCAGCACCAACTTCAGAGCCAATCCTAGTGATTATGAATCCATTCAGGACTGTTTTTAAAGGGACTGGTGACATTTGCTCCATCAGATCAGATTTTTTTAGAAGCTCCCCAAAAGCATTTTTTTAATGAAGATACTGTACATGGTTGGAGAAAGACAGGGTTTTCAAACAAGGTTTAAGTTATTCTAACATGTGAATAAAATCTTCTACCTCTCCAGTTTGTTTTTGGCGTGTGTTAAAGTTCAATGATCAGAAGCCAAACTCCATCCGTTTTTTTTTTTTAATACAAAATATTCTAAGAAAAGACATTAAGCTTCTTTTTTGTCGGACAATAAGAAAAACCCACGGCCTGCACGGATGGGAACAGGAAAAGCTGTTCCTGGTGGGAATGCGGCGCTCAGAAATGAGCCGTTACCCTGTCGATCTCCAGGAGGTCGTCCAGGATCTGGCGAGAGAGCAGAGGGGGGGGTCAGTGGGGGGGGGTAAATGGAGCAGGGGCTGTGGAAGCTGGGTGGACTCGGGTTGGCTCACGATGTCCTGCGTGGTTCCGATCTTCTTGGCCAGCTCGCTGCGCTCCATGGTGCTGAGGTACAGGTACTTGTTGAGCAGCTCGCCGTCCAGGATGTTCCTGACGGCGTTCTGCAGACTGCGCCTGTCGCTGTGCATCATCCTGC